GCAGCTTTAAGTCGTCTTTAAGTCGTATCTCCTCCTCAACGAAGCAATATCGAGGACTAGTTCCAAAAGCAAATATGTTAAGCAAGTTCCGAGGATGAACATAGGCCAAAAATTCCCGGAATTCCTTCCTGGATTTCCCGGAAAAGTCAAAAATCCTCGAAAAAATGCAGTTTTTGACCCATATCTCGGCAACCAGACCACATGTACCAATCGATTCCTGCCATAATTTAGAACAATATTGCCGAAGAAAGTTTTCAAAAATATCCTTTTGTTTGGCCACAAAAAAATAATTAAGAATTTTTAAACTGAGCAGCGTGTAGGCAGGGGTCGGCAATCTTTTGAGACAAAAGAGCCAAAACTTACAATTTACAACATTACCGGTTTTTAAAGAGCCACTAACTTTTTTATGTCAATAGTATATTTGTTTAGTATATATCCTAAACAAATATCATACTATATATATATATATATATATATATATATATATATATATATATATATATATATATATATATATATATATATATATATATATAGCTATGAATATATGACATACTCTCATTTGAATTTATGTTGAGAGGATCTACTTTGAACGTCCGAGTACTTGCATTTGTTTTGAATAGCTCAAATCTCTCAGTGAAAACACCCTTCAGTTTGTTTATATTAATGCTTAAGTGATTGAATGGAAGCATTGGTTTCAAACCGATATTTTTTTAGTAATTTACCGCTCATCATGTATTCAACATTTTTTTCGAAACAAACCACCTTGTCAAGCAGGACATAGGCTAGATTTTCCTTTCAGTTTTGCACTTAGCTGGTTTAGTTTCTTTGTGAAGTTGAATATTTCAATTTGGAATGGACAATGTAATAGGAAGTACATTGAGATAGGGAGTAACTAAATATTCTAATATAATAGTGAATGTTTATTGTTTATTACAATTGTTATGTCGTTTTTACAGAGTGCTGCATGCTAATATTTTTATGAGTTTTGGAAATAAAATAAAATAAGTATTAATATGTGTGCATGGAGCTGAAGAGCCGCAACTTGACATCAAAAGAGCCGCATGCGGCTCGCGAGCCGCAGGTTGCCGACCCCTGGCCTAGGATGATTTAGCGCAAAGCGCTGAGGTTCGAAAGGATTTTTTCTATTTTGTTTTGAATTATTGAAACTACTTGTGTTGCATTATTTATTTGCTGAATATATGATTTATCTCGATTTAAAATTGTTATGGATAACATAAGGAAATTGCGCTTAAATTGTCTCTAGACTTTTTATTAAATTGTTTCTATATATGTCAATTGCAATACACTTGCTGACTACCGTTCAGTAGTTGATAGGTATTGTTCATTGAGGTGTATCGGTTTTTGTTTGATCTCAATATCATATTAGTTATCAAAAAACACTTGACGTTTGATAAAGAGAATTGATATAGCTGCGTGCTCGGGATGAGGTGGAGGAAAGATCTAAACATATTTTCTTAATGTGGTTTGGGGTCCGCCATATTAACATTTGTCCCCCTTGTGACGGGCTTGCTGAACTTTGACGTAATGTGCGGTCAGGGTATACTTGGCAAATTTGATAAAAATTATAAAAAAGTTGATAAAAATTATAAAAAAGTTGATAAAAATTATAAAAAAGTTGATAAAAATTATAAAAAAGTTGATAAAAATTATAAAAAAGTTGATAAAAATTATCTGAACATTTTGGGCCCTGGAATGCTGCTCTGTCAACCTCTTCCTTTGTGCAGCTGGTGGCTACAGAGGGCGCTCTGAGACGCCACTGACCCCTGGGCAGTCGCCTGGGGTTGTTCTAATTCATTTTTACGTGGATGATTAACGTACGCTTATGATTTCATAAAGCACGCCCTGGGGCGTCTGGGCGGTAGTGTGGACAAACCCGCGCCCCAACAACACTAATCCGAGACGTTGTATACATTTAAATAACTCTATTTTAGAGAATAAGGTCACACGTCAAAAAATCAACGATTAATAGCGTGTTTATGAAATCTTCATAAAACTTTAGCGTCACTTGGCTCTGTACTGATAGATCGCAGCAACACGGGACGGGTACGCTAGTATTATAGTATATCTAATTTTGCTTTTTACAGCCCACAAACATTTTTGTAATTTTTTTCTAAACACACGCGAACATCTGCAGCGGAAATGGAAAAAAAAAACATCCGGATAATTTCGGATGATTTATTCTGAAATATTCATCTTGACAACACAATTTACAAAACTTGACATGGAACGATCATTGTTTAAAGCCGCATAAAGTGTACACGTTCAAACAACTTAAAATTGCTTCATTAGAAAATTTGTTTTCTACATGGTCCATTCGGTGATGTGGAGTCGGAGCTTGAGAAAAACACGTCAGCTTACAAGTTCAAGAATGAAAGCATCAAGACAAGCTGTGGGACACGTCAACTTTTGTCTAACTTACTTTTAGCTGCACCTGAACCAGGAGCCTAGAGCCCGGGGTCAGGTATCTGGTCAGTGGACCCACCCTGACATTCGTTTCACCTGTACGACATGTCAGGCTTGTGGGAGTACATTGATTGGATGTGACGTTTTGAGCTTGAGGGCTTAGTGTCAACCATGTTTATATAGGAGCTGAAAGCTTTCATTTGATTGGCTAGAATTAGGGTCGAGGGTCAAACGAAGCTGCCACGTGACCAGTATGAAAGTGGCCAATGATAAATTTCTGATCCCACGTGTGTGTTGTGTGGTGGGATTTGACGTACAAATATTCACATTATAGAACAATATTGTTATTATCATAATAATACTTTGGTGATATATAATGATGATGACAAGAATAGTATTTTCGAAATATAATAACTTTTAACATAACGATGATGATAATATTTACATTGGAGTACGATGATGAATTTAAACATAACGATGTTGATAATATTTACATTGGAATACGACGATGAATTTAAATATAACGACGATGATAATGTTTACATTAATTATGATGATAATAATACATTACATAAAATTGAAATGAACTGATGTTTACATTTAAAACAGTTGTGTTATACTTTAATTATGTACCTCACCTAATGTAAAAGGTTATCCGCCTCTATTGTCGAACATTTATGTTTTAACCAATAGGTCTCTGATGTATATGAGTCTCTGGTGAAATATTGGTTTCTGGTGAAGTATGTGTTTCTGGTGAAATATGGGTTTCTGGTGAAATATGGGTTTCTGGTGAAATATGGGTCTCTGGTGAAATATGTGTTTCTGGTGAAATATGAGTCTCTTGTGAAATATGGGTTTCTGGTGAAATATGGGTTTCTGGTGAAATATGGGTTTCTGGTGAAATATGGGTTTCTGGTGAAATATGTGTTTCTGGTGAAATATGGGTCTCTGGTGAAATATGGGTTTCTGGTGAAATATGGGTTTCTGGTGAATGTTTGGGGGTGGGGAAAGAAGGGATGAGGGGGAAATTTACAATAATATCTCGCTCAACTATTGTTGGCGATGTCATATTTATTAGCTGGCCATGTAACGTCTGTTAATTGGCCATGTAACGTCTATTAGTTGGCCATGTAACGTCTATTAGTTGGCCATGTAACGTTTATTAGTTGGCCATGTAACGTCTATTAGTTGGCCATGTAACGTCTATTAGTTGGCCATGTAACGTTTATTAGTTGGCCATGTAACGTCTGTTAATTGGCCATGTAACGTCTATTAGTTGGCCATGTAACGTCTATTAGTTGGCCATGTAACGTCTATTAGTTGGCCATGTAACGTTTATTAGTTGGCCATGTAACGTCTGTTAATTGGCCATGTAACGTCTATTAGTTGGCCATGTAACGTCTATTAGTTGGCCATGTAACGTCTTTTAGTTGGCCATGTAACGTCTATTAGCTGGCCATGTAACGTCTATTAGTTGGCTATATCAATTTTAATCACTGACCATATCACAACTGAAAAAAAGTCCCTCAAAAATTAAGTGAGCGAATTTCACAGTTTAACAAACAACAATGTAAAAAACATCCGAAGCGTTTTTGTTTGTCAGAAATTCCATCTCAGTAATAACCCGCCTCTGTAAATGAGGTAATCACATTGGTCCTCACACACATCTATTGGAACACGAAGACCAAAGTTGTATGTCCTACGGTTAAAGTTGTATGTCCTACGGTTAAAGTTGTATGTCCTACGGTTAAAGTTGTATGTCCTACGGTTAAAGTTGTATGTCCTACGGTTAAAGTTGTATGTCCTACGGTTAAAGTTGTATGTCCTACGGTTAAAGTTGTATGTCCTACGGTTAAAGTTGTATGTCCTACGGTTAAAGTTGTATGTCCTATGGCAGAGAACTCTCGTTGTATGTCATGTAGTTGAAGACCTAAGTTGTATGTCTTATGTTTGAAGACCGAAGGTGTATGTCCTATAATTTAATACCAAGGTTGTGTGTCTTATGGTTGAAAACCGAAGCTGTATGTCCACTGTATAGTTGAGAACTAGTACAATGAAGCTGTTTTATGTTTCTGTATGTCCTAGTTCAGTTTTGTTGATAACTTGACATACATGATACACACTTTTATGTACATACGATTGGTTTACGTTGTCAAAGGTCAAGGTCAGGCGCCGACCTTGTGTAAACTTAAGGTTAGTTTATTGGACTGGATCAAAACCAATGCATGTCTTGAATAATTCCAAAAAAAAACAACCTATCAATTAGCGACATAATTCCGAGAACGTAAAGACAGTGTGGGCATGAGGCATTAAATGGAATCCTTTACTTGATTTTACATAGCCAAATCAACGGTGTAATTTTCCGTGTGGTGCTTAGCTGCGTCAACATTATTATTTCAAACAAAATGCTTCAGCTTATTTCATTCTAGTATTTAGTGTCTTGTTCATTCTCACGATTGGCAGTGTAAGCTGGTAGAGGTGTCTTGGTGTCGTGGTGTCTTGGTGTCTCGGTGGGTTAGCGGTTCCCCAACTTCCGCAGTTTCCAGACGACTTGCCGGGTCAAGGTCGCGGCTCTAGCATGTGGTCTCCTTGCTGACGTAGAACGATGACCGGTAGGGGTGGGTGTGGCTGTAGCAGCGCCCGTGGTGGCCGTTGTTGTTGGAGCGGTGGTGCCAGAAGTTGGAGTGCTCCGTCCGGCAGCGGGAGCGGCACCAGTTCCGCTTGAAGGTGACCCAGAACTTGTCGGAGAACCAGCAGTAGAGCACGAAGTTGCAGGTGGACTTGAGTGCCAGCAGAGAGTGGCAGGCGTGCTTGATGTACGTCCACTCGTCGTAACTGGTGAACTCGGAGTCGAACTCGGTCACTGCAGTCACGGCGCTAGGGAGACACGAGAGGCTTTGGTTAGGGAGAGACGAGACACTTTGGTTAGGGAGAGACGAGACACTTTGGTTAGGGAGACATGAGACACTATGGTTAGGGAGAGACGAGACACTTTGGTTAGGGAGAGACGAGACACGCTTTGGTTAGGGAGAGACGAGACACTTTGGTTAGGGAGACATGAGACACTTTGGTTAGGGAGAGACGAGACACGCTTTGGTTAGGGAGAGACGAGACACTTTGGTTAAGGAGAGACGAGACACTTTGGTTAGGGAGAGACGAGACACTTTGGTTAGGGAGAGACGAGACACTTTGGTTAGGGAGAGACGAGACACTTTGGTTAGGGAGAGACGAGACACTTTGGTTAGGGAGAGACGAGAGGCTTTGGTTAGGGAGAGACGAGACACTTTGGTTAGGGAGAGACGAGACACTTTGGTTAGGGAGAGACGAGACACGCTTTGGTTAGGGAGAGACGAGACACTTTGGTTAGGGAGAGACGAGACACTTTGGTTAGGGAGAGACGAGACACTTTGGTTAGGGAGAGACGAGACACTTTGGTTAGGGAGAGACGAGACAAGTTTTATTGAAGGAAATATGAGACATATTTTATTTTCCAAGTTTATCAACAGTTGAAGTAATACTAACAAATTATAAACTATTATAAAAAAAATTCATTTTCAAGATAAATTATTTTTTAAAGAGAAATAACTCAATTAATATTTCAGTAAGCCTGTTTAAGCTAGGTTATATCCCCTTACATAAAGCAAACCTGTTTGGTTTATTTATTTTTCACAAACAGGAAAATCAAATTTCTATTTAGATGTGGTAGCCAAGTCATATTGAAAGGTAGCTAAATTAAGCTAAACAATGCATGAAAATATTGTGCCAAATGTTATGGCAGTAAATTATACGCGACCTCTGGTGTTTAATCAAAGACTTCCAGTTTTCTACAAAATCTATGCCGGCCCATTTTTTTTCTAAATCCCTTATCAATACTTAAATAACTCACTCTCTCTTGATCCCCTACAGAAACCACGTAAGTGTCCCAATGAATCATAACGAACTTTTCAAGTTCAGGTAAGTATTTAGTGCTAAGAACCCGATGTCAAAACAAATAAAATAAAAAGTTGTGTCACTCACTTGTAGAGCATCTGAGGCACGTGACAGACGAAGAAGGCAACGACCACACTAATTAGCATCATCGTTATCTTAAGCTCCTCATTAGAGACGACAGATCGCACCTGGCAGTCCACGCCCAGGTAGTTCTGTAGGTAGCGAGACGAGCGACGGATCTCGTAGATGATGCGGCCGTTAAGGATGAGCAGGGTAAGGAGGGGCAGCACCGTGAGGAGGCTCACTGTGGAGGGGAGGGGTGGTGTTAGTATAGGTGGGGGTAGAGGGGAGGTGTTAGTACAGGTGGGGGTGGGGGTAGAGGGGAGGTGGTAGTACTGGTGGGTGGGGGTAGAGGGGAGGTGTTAGTACTGGTGGGGGTGGGGGTAGAGGGGAGGTGGTAGTACTGTTGGGTGGGGGTAGAGGGGAGGTGGTAGTACTGGTGGGGGTGGGGGTAGAGGGGAGGTGGTAGTACTGGTGGGGGTGGGGGTAGAGGGGAGGTGGTAGTACTGTTGGGTGGGGGTAGAGGGGAGGTGTTAGTACTGGTGGGGGTGGGGGTAGAGGGGAGGTGGTAGTACTGTTGGGTGGGGGTAGAGGGGAGGTGGTAGTACTGGTAGAGGGGAGGTGGTAGTACTGGTGGGTGGGGGTAGAGGGGAGGTGGTAGTACTGGTGGGGGTGGGGGTAGAGGGGAGGTGGTAGTACTGGTAGAGGGAAGGTGGTAGTACTGGTGGGGGTGGAGGTAGAGGGGAGGTGGTAGTACTGGTGGGGGTAGAGGGGAGGTGGTAGTACTGGTAGAGGGGAGGTGGTAGTACTGGTGGGGGTGGGGGTAGAGGGGAGGTGTTAGTACTGTTGGGTGGGGGTAGAGGGGAGGTGGTAGTACTGGTGGGGGTGGGGGTAGAGGGGAGGTGGTAGTACTGGTAGAGGGGAGGTGGTAGTACTGGTGGGGGTGGGGGTAGAGGGGAGGTGTTAGTACTGTTGGGGGTGGGGGTAGAGGGGAGGTGGTTGTACTGTTGGGTGGGGGTAGAGGGGAGGTGGTAGTACTGGTGGGGGTGGGGGTAGAGGGGAGGTGGTAGTACTGGTGGGGGTGGGGGTAGAGGGGAGGTGGTAGTACTGTTGGGTGGGGGTAGAGGGGAGGTGTTAGTACTGGTGGGGGTGGGGGTAGAGGGGAGGTGGTAGTACTGGTGGGGGTGGGGGTAGAGGGGAGGTGGTAGTACTGTTGGGTGGGGGTAGAGGGGAGGTGGTAGTACTGGTAGAGGGGAGGTGGTAGTACTGGTGGGTGGGGGTAGAGGGGAGGTGGTAGTACTGGTGGGGGTGGGGGTAGAGGGGAGGTGGTAGTACTGGTAGAGGGAAGGTGGTAGTACTGGTGGGGGTGGGGGTAGAGGGGAGGTGGTAGTACTGGTGGGGGTGGGGGTAGAGGGGAGGTGGTAGTACTGGTAGAGGGGAGGTGGTAGTACTGGTGGGGGTGGGGGTAGAGGGGAGGTGTTAGTACTGTTGGGTGGGGGTAGAGGGGAGGTGGTAGTACTGGTGGGGGTGGGGGTAGAGGGGAGGTGGTAGTACTGGTAGAGGGGAGGTGGTAGTACTGGTGGGGGTGGGGGTAGAGGGGAGGTGTTAGTACTGTTGGGTGGGGGTAGAGGGGAGGTGGTAGTACTGGTGGGGGTGGGGGTAGAGGGGAGGTGGTAGTACTGGTAGAGGGGAGGTGGTAGTACTGGTGGGGTGGGGGTAGAGGGGAGGTGGTAGTACTGGTAGAGGGGAGGTGGTAGTACTGTTGGGTGGGGGTAGAGGGGAGGTGGTAGTACTGGTGGGGGTGGGGGTAGAGGGGAGGTGGTAGTACTGGTAGAGGGGAGGTGGTAGTACTGGTGGGGGTGGGGGTAGAGGGGAGGTGGTAGTACTGGTGGGGGTGGGGGTAGAGGGGAGGTGGTAGTACTGGTAGAGGGGAGGTGGTAGTACTGGTGGGGGTGGGGGTAGAGGGGAGGTGTTAGTACTGTTGGGTGGGGGTAGAGGGGAGGTGGTAGTACTGGTGGGGGTGGGGGTAGAGGGGAGGTGGTAGTACTGGTAGAGGGGAGGTGGTAGTACTGGTGGGGGTGGGGGTAGAGGGGAGGTGTTAGTACTGGTGGGGGTGGGGGTAGAGGGGTGGTGTTAGTACTGTTGGGTGGGGTAGAGGGGTGGTGTTAGTACTGGTGGGGTTGGGGGTAGAGGGGAGGTGTTAGTACTGTTGGGTGGGGGTAGAGGGGAGGTGGTAGTACTGGTAGAGGGGAGGTGTTAGTGTGAATAAGTGTGTTTTTGTAGATGTAGGTGTTAGAACAAGGGGATGGCGTGGGAGTCTAGTTATGATTCATGCAGATTTGTCGCTATACTGTCCGGGGTCAATGTCAGGGGTCGATGTCAGGGGTCAATGTCAGTTGTCAATGTCAGGGGTCAATGTCAGGGGTCAATGTTAGGGGTCAATGTCAGGGGTCAATGTCAGGGGTCAATGTCAGGGGTCAATGTCAGGGTCAATGTCAGGGGTCAATGTCAGGGGTTACGGTATGATGGAACACCAGCCTCACATTTTTAACCCCCCCCCTCCTCATATCTACCTGTGACAATATAGGTGTAGAGGGCGTTGTTGTAGTAGTACGCATGCGTGATGGTCAGCAGCGTCTCGCCTGTGATTGGTTCCTTGGCGTTGGTCAGCTGAAGGTCAAGGAACTTGGGGGAGAGCACGGTGAAGGTGATGAGGAACAAGATGGCGATGATGATGCGGGCCCGTTTGATGGTGCACATGCCCATGGCCCGCATCGGGTGGCAGATGGCCAAGTACCGCTCTACGGCCAACATGACGGTCACACCAACAGTTAGGTACTGGAAGGTCTCCATGGCTATAGCTGCAGACATACAACAAATCTTAATGTCAAGGTCTCCATAGCTATAGCTGCAGACATACAACAAATCTTAATGTCAAGGTCTCCATAGCTGTAGCTGCAGACATACAACAAATCTTAATGTAAGGTCTCCATAGCTATAGCTGCAGACATACGACATATTTTAATGTCAAGGTCTCCATAGCTATAGCTGCAGACATACAACAAATCTTAATGTAAGGGCTTCATAGCTATAGCTGCAGACATACGACAAATCTTAATGGAAGGTCTCCATAGCTATAGCTGCAGACATACAACAAATCGTAATGTCAAGGTCTCCATAGCTATAGCTGCAGACATACAACAAATCTTAATGTAAGGTCTCCATAGCTATAGCTGCAGACATACGACAAATCTTAATGTAAGATCTCCATAGCTATAGCTCCAGACATACAACAAATCTTAATGTAAGATCTCCATAGCTATAGCTGGAGACATACAGCAAAATCTTAATGGAAGGTCTCCATAGCTATAGCTGGAGATACAGCAAATCTTAATGGAAGGTCTCCATAGCTATAGCTGCAGACATACGACAAAGCTTAATGTAAGGTCTCCATAGCTATAGCTGCAGACATACAACAAATCTTAATATAACGTCTTTATGGCTTTAGCTGGAGAAACAAACACACATCTAAATGTAAGATGGTTTTGGCTATAGCTGGGGGATTCAAATGTTATAGCTATAGCTGGAAATAAAAGTGTTTTAAGGTCTTTATTGCTATAGATGGTGCTAATAAATAATTTCACCAAAAAAGTCTATTAGGCTAGCTTTAGTTTTGTTTCTAAGGTTCTTAAGACTATAACTTTGGGATAACAATTTATTAATGAAAGATCAGCACAGCTATTGTTGGTGAAAAGTCAGTGAAAAGTGTCCTTAGCTATATCTGAAGACAAAAGTGTATTATTGAAAGGTCTTTATTGCTATAGAATACTATAGCTGAAGCTAATAAAGATTTTCACAAAAGGTCTATCATGCTATCGCTCAAATGAACTTATAGTTTAGCAATTCTGTTCAATCAGTTCCAAGTCTTATAGATTAAAATTGTCCCCAGGGAAAAATAAAATCCCAGAGAAAACATGAAAGGCGCATGTTGACCGTCTACGGGAAAAGCTCACACACGGTGCACGCACCCCCCCCCCCCCCCCCGGGCTGGAGAAACAAAAAACTGCATCCATGTTTCCAGCGGATATGTCGGGATTGAAACTAATTATAAAACGTGTTTCATCTGCTGTCATTTTACGAACTCTACACAAGACAAACTGCTAGGTTTCACCCTGTGAGCGATCACCTCTAAACAGGACAAACTGCTCGGTTTCATACCGTGAGCGATCACCTCTACACAAGACAAACTGCTCGGTTTCATCTGGTGAGCGATCACCTCTACACAAGACAAACTGCTCGGTTTCATACCGTGAGCGATCACCTCTAAACAGGACAAACTGCTCGGTTTCATACCGTGAGCGATCACCTCTACACAAGACAAACTGCTCGGTTTCATACCGTGAGCGATCACCTCTAAACAGGACAAACTGCTCGGTTTCATACCGTGAGCGATCACCTCTAAACAGGACAAACTGCTCGGTTTCATACCGTGAGCGATCACCTCTACACAAGACAAACTGCTCGGTTTCATACTGTGAGCGATCACCTCTACACAAGACAAACTGCTCGGTTTCATCTGGTGAGCGATCACCTCTACACAAGACAAACTGCTCGGTTTCATACCGTGAGCGATCACCTCTAAACAGGACAAACTGCTCGGTTTCATACCGTGAGCGATCACCTCTACACAAGACAAACTGCTCGGTTTCATACCGTGAGCGATCACCTCTAAACAGGACAAACTGCTCGGTTTCATACCGTGAGCGATCACCTCTAAACAGGACAAACTGCTCGGTTTCATACCGTGAGCGATCACCTCTACACAAGACAAACTGCTCGGTTTCATCTGGTGAGCGATCACCTCTACACAAGACAAACTGCTCGGTTTCATACCGTGAGCGATCACCTCTAAACAGGACAAACTGCTCGGTTTCATCTGGTGAGCGATCACCTCTACACAAGACAAACTGCTCGGTTTCATACCGTGAGCGATCACCTCTAAACAGGACAAACTGCTCGGTTTCATACCGTGAGCGATCACCTCTACACAAGACAAACTGCTCGGTTTCATCTGGTGAGCGATCACCTCTACACAAGACAAACTGCTCGGTTTCATACCGTGAGCGATCACCTCTAAACAGGACAAACTGCTCGGTTTCATACCGTGAGCGATCACCTCTACACAAGACAAACTGCTCGGTTTCATACCGTGAGCGATCACCTCTAAACAGGACAAACTGCTCGGTTTCATACCGTGAGCGATCACCTCTAAACAGGACAAACTGCTCGGTTTCATACCGTGAGCGATCACCTCTACACAAGACAAACTGCTCGGTTTCATACTGTGAGCGATCACCTCTACACAAGACAAACTGCTCGGTTTCATACTGTGAGCGATCACCTCTACACAAGACAAACTGCTCGGTTTCATACTGTGAGCGATCACCTCTACACAAGACAAACTGCTCGGTTTCATACTGTGAGCGATCACCTCTACACAAGACAAACTGCTCGGTTTCATACTGTGAGCGATCACCTCTAAACATGACAAACTGCTCGGTTTCATACTGTGAGCGATCACCTCTAAACATGACAAACTGCTCGGTTTCATACTGTGAGCGATCACCTCTACACAAGACAAACTGCTCGGTTTCATACTGTGAGCGATCACCTCTACACAAGACAAACTGCTCGGTTTCATACTGTGAGCGATCACCTTAAGAGCTGCCCAGCATTTCACCAGCTGGTTTCTCTGTAGTTTTCACCAAACAGGTGATGTTTGAAATTCGTGTTAGCAAGCTTATATGTGGGCAGACCATGTACATGTCACCCTAAAGCAGTTTTGGTGCTTCATCTCATTCATGAGTGGGTGGTTACTACTTAAACTATTTGGTTCAATAGCCTGAATATGTACCGTACAAATATCTACTAGAGGTAGATCACAACATCACAATATCCACACCAACACCCACCACCACCACATCAACATCCACCACTACCACACAAACATCCACTACCACAACACCAACATCTACACAGCCCAACTCACTCGAGTAGGACGTAAAGAGCGCCATGTGAGCTGAGCTGGCTATCCGACAGTCGGCGTACTGCTCCATGAGGTTCTTGCTGCACATGACCAGCAACATCATCAGGTCCCCTACAGCCAGCGCCGTCAGGTAACAGTTGCACGAGTTGCTCATGAACTTCCGGGTCAGCACGGACAGGGTCAGCAGGATGCCCAGGATGCCGATACACAGGAAGATTGGCTCAACGATGATTTTAATGGAATCGTTCGGTTTCTGTGGATAATTGTAATGGAATCATTCGGTTTCTGTGGATAACTTTAATGGAATCATTCGGTTTCTGTGGATGATTTTAATGGAATCATTCGGTTTCTGTGGATGATTTTAATGGAATCATTCGGTTTCTGTGGATAATTGTAATGGAATCATTCGGTTTCTGTGGATGATTTTAATGGAATCATTCGGTTTCTGTGGATGATTTTAATGGAATCATTCGGTTTCTGTGGATGATTTTAATGGAATCATTCGGTTTCTGTGGATAATTTTAATGGAATCATTCGGATAATTTTTACTTCATAAGTTATATCTGACGCGAAGAAAAATAAAAGTGTGCTTAAAACACAGACATAAAAAACTAACAATTGGATTGGATATATGAAATTAGGCCTAGAGCCTAGACAGAAGAGACATATAATAGTCACATGATGACCCTCCAATTGTATAACATTGATACTTGTTTCAGATTATTCAGATCTCCATGGTAACCGATACAATCAGTATAAAGGTACACCACAGTTAAGCAATACATTGCTGATCCATTCACTATAGATCCAAAGATGGAACCTCTATCCTGTGGTCCATTTAGAACAAGAATGCCACTACACGAATCAGTGAACCTTTCCCTTAGACAAAGAACAATATTTAGCTGCTAATATTTTGGCACCAACGTTCAAAGATTCTTCCTCTAGGATCTTCAGTAGTTTAATAAAGTACAACTTCAGCATTCAACGTTTAACTCATCATCCATGAATGGAAAGACAAAGGTTTAATTTTTTATCGACAGATGAAAAGACACAATTTTATCGATAAATGGAAACTTTTTTCAACGATAGGCAGAAAGACTAAAGTCTATTTTTGTTTATATGTGTAACGATTAGCAAGCTAAAACGTGCAAGCAAGAGCAAACTTTAAACTACAGGACTGTGTGGTTAGTTAACCTTGGACATGACCTCTTGACCTCACCGTGTGCTCCTCACAGCTCCGATTGAACCAGACGCTGCTGCTGATGTTGTCCGCAGACGACAGGCTAGCAGAGCCAAGGTCAAGGTGACTCAAGATGGCGACGCTGCCATTGTACCTGGCGGTGACGGCTTGGGGTGGGATCGAACCCCGGTCCGTGTCTGCAGCCTGACGGTTGGGGCCCGGCACACCCAACAAGTCTGGGATTTGTCTGTCTGACGTGTTGTAAGTCTGGCTCAACGTGGCGTCACTCGCGTCTGCTGACGTGTTGTAAGACGGTGTAAACATGACGTCACCACCAGCATTAGCCACACAACCTGAGGGTAAAAAAAAACTCATTAAAAAATTAAACAAAATATGGCGTCCAACTATCTTTCCTCCCGTAAATTACGAGCCGGTTCTAAAAAAAAATCTAATAAAACGAATTGCCTCCGGGAAGACATTAATTTATTATTAATGCGATCAGTGTCATGTTGAATGTTTTTTTATATAACTATCTTTCATCAACGTTAGAATATATATATATAATTATATATATATATATATATATATATATATATATATATATAAATATATATATATATATATATATATATATATATATATATATATATATATATATATATATATATATATATATATATATATATATATATATATACATATATATATATATATACATATATATATATATATATATATACATATATATATATATATATATATATATATATATATATATATATATATATATATATATATATATATATATATAATATTCGTACCTCAACAACACATTATCAAAAGAACTTAAGTTAGTTCTACTTCTGCAAACCTCTTCCATTAACCTATCGTAACGAAGCCAATTATTCTGCTATTTTAAACGGCCTGGGAGTACTCACTCTCACCAAACCAATTTCAGCACGCCGGTTTAGTGGATTCTAGTCTGGTCCAATACTTAATAAACTAATCACTACAATCAGACTCTCTCTCTCCCATCACTGTATCAAAACCAGACTCTCTCTCTCCCATCACTGTATCAAAACCAGACTCTCTCTCTCTCCCATCACTGTATCACAACCAGACTCTCTCTCTCTCTCTCTCCCATCACTGTATCCAAACCAGACTCTATGGAAGAAAGTCTACTGACCCCCAAACAAAATAGAATTTATATAGAAAATATTTACTTTTACCAGTGTCCCCCCTCCCCGGAAAATTTAGCCCGTCCCCCACCCCACCACCCCGAAAATGTCAAGCCCCCCCCCCTCGGAAAAAAAGCCTGAAAGAAACATTGTTTAGGTTAACTAAGTGTGGCTGGTTAGGTTTAAAGATGACTTAACCCCCCCCCCCCCCCCGTCCCCAGTAGCCTACCCTTAGATCTGTGTCCGTGTTTAAACCGGTTCGTGCTGCTCTATTGTTCTGGCCGTCCTAAAACTACTTTAGCCGTCCAATTTACGATGAACATTCCAAGAAATCACTGATCGTCCGCACCATACAGCCTGGCCGTCCAAAAAAAATCCCTAATAAAAAACGCACCCACATAGTCAAGCCGTCCAAACATTGTACCAACATTCTGGCTGCTAGACAATAAATATTCTGGCCGTCCAAACCATGCAGCCTATGTGACCTAGCCGTCCAAAGCATGCAACCCTAATGACTGGCCGTCCCTACTACTCAGTGACAAGACTGCCCAAACAACTTGGCGCAAATGACCTAACCTGACAAACTACCTCTCCCCCCTCCCCCCTCCACCCCCACCCCCGACCTGTCAGCAGCCCCAACTCTGGCCACAGGGGAGACGTCTGAAAGCTCTGGCACCATTAGAGTTTTAGTTGCCCAGTCAACAAACGTCTGAAAGTGACTTGCTCTCTTGGCCTAGACTAGACTTTTGTTATATGGACCTTAGCCTCCACTAGACTTTTGATATCTAAACCTTAGCCTCCACTAGACTAGACTATTGTTATGTGGACCTTAGTCACCACTAGACTATTGTTATGTGGACCTTAGTCACCACTAGACTAGACTATTGTTATGTGGACCTTAGCCTCCACTAGACTATTGGTATGTGGACCTTAGCATCCACTAGACTAGACTATTGTTATGTGGACCTTAGCCTCCACTAGACTAGACTATTGTTATGTGGACCTTAGTCACCACTAGACTAGACTATTGTTATGTGGACCTTAGCCCCCACTAGACTATTGGTATGTGGACCTTAGCCTCCACTAGACTATTGTTATGTGGACCTTAGCCTCCACTAGACTATTGTTATGTGGACCTTAGCCTCCACTAGACTATTGTTATGTGGACCTTAGCCTCCACTAGACTATTGTTATGTGGACCTTAGCCTCCACTAGACTATTGTTATGTGGACCTTAGCCTCCACTAGACTATTGTTATGTGGACCTTAGCCTCCACTAGACTATTGTTATGTGGACCTTAGCCTCCACTAGACTATTGTTATGTGGACCTTAGCCTCCACTAGACTATTGTTATGTGGACCTTAGTCTCCACTATAGCAGGCTGTACACTAGACATGGGTTGCCAAACTGTGTTGCAGTTTAATTTGATACAAACGCTGATCCACTATGACTGGCCATTTTTCTCTTCTATTGATTATCCTTAGGATAAAGAAAATAGCACCGTTTCATGGGTCTGACCCGTATCATGGGTCTGACTCTCTGGGTCAAGCACCTCGACAGATTGATGAACCCACATGGATCACTGTATCACGTGATTCGGGTAGCGCCATCTTGCCCAGGCACATTTAATTTGTGTGCTTCATGTCCGCGAAGTGTTTTAATGTGCCTGATTTTAGTTCTAGACAAATATTTACTACTGATAACTCTATACTTCTTTTATTGAAGATATATGTATATATATATATATATATATACATATATACATATATATTATATATATATATATATATATATGTGGGCTGGTATACTACTGTTAATCCTAAAATGTAATAGTAACTTGGGTTTGTGGGCTGGTATACTACTGTTTATTCCAAAATGTAATAGTAACTTGGGTGCTTATTAAAGGGGCTAAGGTGACTAGGTGCTAGTTAAACCCAAGGGGTTAATCTAAGGTATTGGGGATGAACAGGCCAGGGAAATCTAAAATTTGATTAAAATGTTATCGGCTCACCCTGGTCGTTAAGGGCTGCGAGCTCTATGCACGTGCATAAGTGACACGTAATGATGGGAAGACACGCGGTGATTTATGTCTAAAGTTGAGTCCGGGCATGCCGCTGGACGTCACGGTTGGATCATGACTCATGATCTGCAGGTGGACGTCAGAAACGATTCCGATGACCTTAGGGACTTATTATCGCCTGGGCCGGATAGTTAGACGCGAGCAGCGTAGGGACCTGTGGTGGTCAGTTGTTAGGTGTGAAACGCGGCGGGAGTGCCGTGTGGCCGTACGTTAGCTCAAGCGGTGTATGACACGATCGTTAGCCCTGAGACAACGGGAAGATCTATAGCGGTCAATTATCGGGTGTGAAACGCATGGGTGCATAGTGACCGGTGTTATCTCGAACGCCGAGGGATGGTGTGGAGCCCAACTCGCGACCCTATAGCTCTGGGGAGATGATAAGGGATGGGCCGACTAGACTATATATTGGCACTCGAACTTGGTCCAAACGGGGTTCACTCAGAATAGAACAACAGTTACCCACGTTAAGAACGTCAAAAATTAAATTTGTGCTCAAGAATTTCGGAAGCCAGTTTTGTGTTCAAATAGGAATCTTGAAGCATTTTGTGTGAGTGTCAAATTCTAGAAATGTAAGTGTGAAACATTTTTTCTTTTTTTTTGACTGATACCTTAAACTAGGATAGTTGTCTTTTAGCTTTATAGAAAACCATGGTTGTATTGTACAGGCTATATTCATGTATTGAATATTGAAGTAGATAGGCTCTAATGATTTTGTTTGTTACAGTGTTGTTTGTAGTCGGCCTATTTTGGCTGGGTTTTTTTTTGCGGTTGTTTTTTTAGTAGTTGTTTTTTTAAAGCAGTTTTTTAATCGATTTTTTAGCCATTTTTGTAGTCATATTTTCCTTGTCTTTATATAGTTACGTTTCCCTAAGTTTTATAACAGCTACATCTGGGGTTTAGTTTTCGTTGAGTTTGGATCTTTTATTTTTAATTTTTAGGCGGGGTATTTAACGATCAAATAAAGTATATCTTAGTTACTCTTGACTTTGATTTTTTATTTACTTAGTCTAGTTTAGTTTGGTTTGTTTAGGTTTAGTAAACCCCTTTGTCACCACACAAAGGTGCACGGATGAGTGAATAAGATCACCTCTCGGTTCTCCCCTTACATTTGGTGTCAGAAGTGGGATCCGTGCTTGGACAAGCCAAACTTTATTTTTTTACTAGGCTAATTTTTTTTGCCCAGGGGTATAGATTTAGGCTAGGTTGTTAGGATAGTTAGAGTAAGTTTGAAAAAAAAAGAAAAGTAAAAACCCAGCTTAAGTATGGCCGACAGTGGCGAAGATAGACAGCCCCCCGCCACCGTCATCATAGTACCCCAGAGAGAGGTCACCATCAGAAGATTCCATGGGGATGGTCATGCTGATGAAGTAGAACGCTTCATCCGAGATGTCAGCCGGGCGTGGAAGGTGCGTAAAGACCTGTCCGATGAGGAGCGACGGGACTTCCTGTGGTCACACCTGGGGGAGTCCGTCCTCGCCGAGCTGAAGTGCCACCCCAAGGTTGTGAGAGACAACCCGGAGGAAACCTTTAAAGTACTGCGAGCCATCTATGGTGAGCAGAGAAGTGTGTCACAACTTACGGGAGCGTTCCAACAGATTCACCAACACAGGGCGGAGTCAGTGAGGGCTTACTCACATCGCCTACATGAGGCGTTTGAATCTCTGACGGCGAGACAGGAGGCCCTTAAAGTGTCCCTTACGGATGAGCAAATCCTGAGGGACCACTTCGTTGAGAATCTACAAGACCCGATCCTACGCAGGTACCTGGGAGAAGAGCTGTACAAAAGTCCCGGTACCACATTCCTGGAGCTGAGAAATGCTGCTATCCGGTGGTGCGGTGACGAGCAGCCAACGACCTTTGAGGCCAGATCGTCTGCCGTCACATCGAGCCAGGCCACAACAGAGTTAGAAGGCCTCGTCCTTACTCTGACTAAACAGGTCAGTGACCTGGCAACACAGCTGCAGGAAATGCAACGAGCACAAGCAAAACTTTCTACACAGCCCAGGGAACCACCCCGAGCTCCTGCTAAACGATTTGGGAACTTCCGGAGGTCACTTAACTGCTACATCTGTAACAGTCCGGCACACATTACCAGGGACTGTCCAAAAAATGGACTCCCACAGTAGTGCAGAGTCGAACTACTGGGGGGAGGTCAGACGACTCGTCATTCTGGAAGAAACTGGTTGGAGCTTGTCCTACGGTAAAAATTAACATTAACCAGTCACCTCTTCTGGCAACAGTCGACACAGGGTCTCAGGTCAGTACAGTGACTGAAAGCTTTTTTCTAGATAATCTTCAGGGTCCTCTGCAAATTGTTCCATCAAAGTGTTTCCGGTTGACTGCAGCGAATGGACTGAGTGTGCCGTGCCATATATTGGATATTTTTTGGCCACGGTAGAGTTGAATGGACAAGTTTTACCTGACAAGGGTTTCCTCGTGATAAGGGACTCGCCGTCTTCGCAGTCCACTGCCCCGTGTCTGTTAGGCATGAACATTTTAAAAGATGTTAATGGCCTCGCCTCGTTTATACAACCTGCCAAGGAACTGGTGAAAGATGGGCGAGCAAGAACTTTAAATTCTACTTCCATCATCCCAGCCAGGTCCATTCAAATGATTAGTGCAACTGGATGTGACCCAAGTGTACCTTGTGACCTGATGGTACAACCCCTGCCAGTATCATTCAACCCAAATTTACTGTTAGTTCCAGCGATCACATTTGCCGAGAGAGGTCTATTCCGTGTCGGCATTGTCAACTTGTCGGACGAGAGCATAACGATCCATCCTAGAACATGTATCGGCACTATCCATCCATTCACTCCTTCGTCTGAAGTAGACATCCAAGTCAACCATGTAGCGGCTGAAATCACTGTAAGGCCGTCACCTCAGACCTCCAGTACCATTAGCAGTGTGAATCACCAGGTGAAGAATAAGGTATCATTTACATCATTGATATCCACGTCCTTGAACCATGCAGAACAAGCGGCTATGAACTCTCTACTTGAACAATTTCAAGATGTATTTGCTTGGTCAGATGATGATTTAGGTTTTACTGACTTAATTAAACACAAGATCCCTCTAATTGATGATACACCGGTTGCTCAGCCCTATCGTCGACTTCCACCAGCTGAGTTCCGAGCTGTCAAAGAACATATTGAAAAACTTGCATCTAAAGGGGTAATTAAGCCCAGTACTAGTGCCTACGCAGCTCCCATTGTGGTAGTGAAAAAGAAGAATGGTGAAATAAGATTATGCTGTGATTATAGGAAGCTTAACAATGTCACTAGAAAAGATGCTTTTCCCCTACCCAGAATAGAAGAAACGTTAGATGCGCTAGGAGGTTCACGTTATTTTTCAACTCTAGACCTAGCCAGTGGCTATCATCAGGTAGCCATGGATGAAAATGATCAGGAAAAAACAGCCTTCATCACACCATTCGGTTTATATTCTTGGACTAGAATGCCATTTGGATTATGTGGAGCCGTGCAAACATTCTCTAGGCTCATGCAAGGTGTAATGAATGATTTCATCATGGACATAATGCTCGTATATTTAGATGACTTGTTGGTGTACTCCCCAGATTTTAAAACGCATCTAGAACGATTAGCCAAAGTCTTGAGCAGATTAAGACAGATAGGACTAAAACTGAACCCCAGTAAATGTGTATTTGGTGCGGCTTCAGTTCAATACTTGGGGCACATAGTCTCTGAAAAGGGTGTCCAGACTGATCCAGCGAAAGTTTCGGCTGTTAACAACTGGCCAACTCCATCGGCCCTGAATGAACTTCGATCATTCCTTGGACTAGCGTCATACTATCGGCGGTTTGTAAAAGGCTTCGCCACAATAGCTAAACCTCTGCACGAAGTCGTCACTCTTGCCAATGTAAAAAGTAAAAACAAACGACAGTCTATTATTGAATTTTGGGGCGAACAACAAGACAAAGCCTTCGTCAACTTGAAGTCAGCCTTAACCAGCTCTCCAGTTCTAGGCTACCCTGATTTTTCTATACCTTTTATCGTAGAAACAGATGCCAGCTACCAGGGATTAGGCGCTGTGTTAAGCCAGAGACAAAGCGACGGCCTGAAAGTCATCGCTTATGCCAGTCGGTCTCTAAGGCCTGGCGAACGTAACATGAAGAATTATAGTGCTACCAAACTGGAACTGTTAGCCCTAAAGTGGGCTGTGACTGAGAAGTTTAGGGGTTATTTATTAGGGACAAAGTTTATTGTGTATACGGACAATAATCCTCTAAGCTATATTAAAACTGCAAAAATCAGCACAACCGAACAACGCTGGGTGGCCGACCTAGACGTTTTCAACTTTGATATCCAGTACCGATCGGGAAAGCTGAACGCCAATGCAGACGCACTTTCTCGTAACCCTGTAGAGGTACCACAGGAGAACGATATTGAAGAACGATATGTCGAGGTCTACTCGGTTAAAATATCCACCAATGTACCACACGAAGTCTCCCACAACCAGATCTCAACCTTCTGCCA